TTTTTAAATGATTGATTTTATACATAAAACACATAATCACAATAAGAAAATAACTAAAATGATTCGAATCGAGGGGAGGCCTACGCAAAGTAGACATTAAAACCACATCTTCGGGTGCATTTTCTACGACCTCGGCTTGAGGGGAAATACGGCTGGGTGACCAACCTCTGGATCGATCTACTTACCCCAACCATCTCTGTTTTCTTTTGGCGCCGACTACCGTTTGATACTGTGATGCATGAGAAAGGATTCTCTCTCCCATCAGGTTGCTACTGTTGTGTTGAGACCAGCGACTTTCAAACTGAGAACTTCACCCATTTGTTTCTTGAGGGTGAGACTGTGAGAAGAGTGTGAGAGCATTATACCACTTACACTCATATAATCCTACTCATTACAGATAGTTTCTTTGAGCTTCTGAACTTTTTCACACAGAGCACACACAATAGGCATGTGGGCTTCCTTATTCCTTGTCGGATCATTTGGTTCACCTGGACATAAAGGAATAATGTAAAGCATAGGCAATAGCATTATTGACCTAGTCAACATTTATTCTATTTTTAGACGTATGCATGTTATGTCCATGCATGCACAACTCTTCTCTATGTTGCTTTTCTTAGTAATTATTCTTTAGCTTTCTAGATTTCATCTCAGCCCTTGGTTTTAATCCTACGGCTGTCATTAGATTAGATGCTTGTATAAAATCCCTTTTCACAGGTTTCTAGGTTACAGTAACATTGAATGACATTGAACATTACGGCTGCTACTTCTATTCTATTGTTCTTCATCACTTTCTATTTTGGTGTTAGTTTTTAATTCTTGATGGCTATTGATCTCGGCCATTATGGTATCAGAGCAGGTTGATATTGACCTGTCTCTTTCATTTCTTGGCTGAGAATCTGATCTCTTCATTCTTGGTTTGATCTTCACATACTTTTTATCTTTCTCGTTTTTCTTTCCCTGTTTGAGTTGAAAATGGCAAGCTCGTCTTCTGACTCGACCAACTCTGGGATGCCACCATCTGTGATACAACCCCAAGCACAGTTGGTTACTGTGAAGTTGAATGAAAGTAATTACCTGGTTTGGAAACATCAAGTCTAGGCGACGGTCAGAGGCTATGGGCTTGAAGGTTTTGTCTTAGGAACATCACCTCCACCAGAAAAATACATCACAGATGAAAATGG